ACATTGAAGCTGAACCCCTTGCCACAGCAATCCTTTTGTCATCCTCCCCACCAGATGGGTGTGAATTTAGAAGCTGAATACAGCCAAATGCCACAAGTGAGGATGTAGGACGAGAGTGTTAGAATTCTACTCTAATTAAATGCTTTAGTTGAGTCATATCTGTTGGGAAATAATACGGCTTGTGTATGGCTGGCGTATGTGCAAAGAAGCTTTTCGGTCCTTTGTTCTTTTTGCCAATCTTCAACAGGTGGGTAGATGGGCAAACCACTGTGCTATCCAACAATCCCCCAATGAGTCAACCTTGAGCCGGTGAGATTTGAACAGCCGAACTGCAGAACTGCAGTCAGCTGAAGTAGCCTGCAGTGCTGCATTTAACCACTGCGCCACCTCGGCTCCCCGAAAATAAGGCCAAGCGCTTATTTCAGGGGTCAAAAGAAAATAAGACCCTGTCTTATTTTGGGGGAAATACGGTAGGAGTAGAATAGTAAGCAAAAGTTAGTTTCATCTCAAAAGAGCATCAATATCTGTTAACATTCTTCCTACTTGTGATCTGTCTTAGCTCTCCGATTCGTTAAGTGAGTTGGAGGCCTTGATGGACAGAATGAAGAGGCTGCAAGAGGAGGACGATGCTTCCCCAGAAGAAATGGATACACGCTTTGAGAAAGAAAAATCAGAGAGTCTACTAGTTGTTACTGAAGGTATTTGCCCGCTCTGTGCTCCACTGGAGCTGCTTTCGTAATTCAGATCCGTCCGCTGAATGAAATAAAATCAAGCTAAACTTACAGATGCGGTTCTCACTTGCTGGAGGTTTTTCTGAGCCAGTTTATACATGCAGAGAAATCTGCTTTCTTCAGACTCGGAGTATTCTAAGTGGGACACTCTTTGTATGTTCCCCTACACCGGCAATAAATCTTTAATCAAAAAAAAAAGTCTGGAAGGCTTTAGCTCTCTGACATGCTAACTTTGCAAAAAGAAAATGAAAATGAGATTAGAAGGTGTATAAAGAATCTTGGAATGTTCAAATAGCTCATTCATCACTGGGAATATGAAGTGACATATTCAAAAATAATAATAATAAAAGCTTTGCCCCAGGTAGCTCGGTGAAATCTTGGAGACTTTAGAGCAATATATTTCCCAACCTCAGCAATTTGGAGAAGTGTGAATTTCAATTCCTGGAATTCCTCAGCCAGCCATGTAATACCTTTGCTCTGCAAACTGCATTTTGGGTGCCAGTTTGCTCCCAGGTCCAATCCGAGGTGTTGGTTATGACTTTTAAAGTCCTATATGTCATGGAGCCTGGCTGCCTAGGGAACCATCTTCGTCCCATTGCATCAGCCTGTCCCACCTGATCAGACAGGGAAGGAATGTTGCTGAGTGTAAGCATTTTGATTGGCGGGCTCCAAGAAAAAAGCCTTCTTTGCCATCGTGGCATGACATAACCGCAGTAGACTAAAGCGCGCCGACAACATAACCCTAAAAATAACCCTAAACCTAACCCTAAACCTAACCCTAAACCTCCCCTAAACCTACCCTAAACCTAC